ATTTGAGCTTTCCTGACATGATGCTGGGTATCCTTTCATATACTGTTGGCCATTCATCTTTTGTGACTGGAAAAAAACAAAACAAAACAAAACTGCTCAAGTACCATTTCTAAGTTTTATATTGTGTCTCAAAGCATTTCTCTATTGAGTTGTAGAAATTCTTTAAATATTTTGAAGACTCATCCCTACCAAATGTGTGGTTTGTGGATATTTTCCCTGTTCTGCAGCTTACCTCTTCATTCTGTTGACTGATTTTGTCACTTGAGCATGTCACGCATGAGAAGCCATTGCCAAGACAATGTCATACACCATTGCTTCTAGTTTTACAGTTTCACGTTTTTTTTGTGTAGGAACCTTTAATCCATTTTCCACTGGTTTGGGTGTCACGTGTGGGTTTAGTTTTATTGTTCCCACCCCCACACTGTGGGGGATATGCAGTTTCCCAAATATTGTTTTTGGAGATAATATCTTTTCCCCACTGTGCATTTTTGATGCCTCTGACTGTAGATATGTGGGTTCATTTCTATGGAGCAAATTCTTTGCGGAAAGAATATTTTCTGCCATTTTATCTGTCATTAGATGGCAGTTTTCACAGTAATGGATTGGTAACCCACACTGAACAAGTGTTTCCACGAGTGTAACTAACATGGAGTACCATTCCTAGTTTTTACTCTATCTCCCATATTTTCACCTCTCTGTTACTGTACTGTTTTATTTCTTGTGGCTATAGGAGCCTCCTGTAGTTGATCCCGCAATTCTTTTTACTTGGGTGTGGTAGTCTTTGAAAACTTCCTTGGCTTTCAGTATTCCAATAAGATCCCATTGTTCACTGGTCTTGTCCAACTTAAGTGCAGTCATTTGTCCTGGAACCCTGGTTTCTTTTACTGGAAAAAAAAAAATAGCTTTCCAGAATTGGACACAAGTATGCTGTCATTGTTATTGGCTGGTTACTAGTTTTTCCAATGGAGAGAGTTAGATCTCACAACTGGTTTTGTTGTAATTGTTTTATTTTTACTTAAAAGACACACACACACACACACACACACACACACAGACACACACACACACAGACACACACACACACAGACAGACAGACAGACAGACTTAGGAGCCCAGCACAGTGGTTCGTGCCTTTAACCCCAGCAATCTGGGAGGCAGAGGCAGGTGGATCTCTGTGAGTTTGAGGCCAGCCTGGTCTACAAAGTGAGTCCAGGACAGCCAAGGCTACACAAAGAAACCCTGTCTCAAAAGAAGAAAAAAAAATTACAGGGGTTTTACCTAATTGTTTTAATTTTCTATTTCTGTATCTTTTTTTTTTTTTTTAAAAAAAAGGTTCCTGGTAACATCATAACTATAACAAATATAATACTTCAGAGACTATGGCTATATTATTACTAACAATTTTAACACAAAGATAAAACAATTTCAGTGTTTTTTGTTTTTTGTTTCCTGATAGTTCTTTTGTCTTTACCATAGTTACTGTTGGGACTTTCTACCCCTCACCAAGCATAGATGCTGTGGTCTGAATGTTCATGTGGCTGTCCCTAGGGTGATGACATCAGGAGGTGCGACCTTTTAGATATCGTTAGGTTGCTGGGATGGATCAATGAGAGGCTTAGAGCTACTACTATCATATAAAAGAGGTCCTTCTGAAGGGGACACATGAAGACACAAAGACCGTAAAAACAGAGCAGTAATCATCAATGACACCAGGCGCCCCTCACTAGACTCTGCCTTTGCAGGTGGCTCAACTTAGGACTTTTCAGCTTCCTGGCCTATGAGAAATATGGGCCCCTTAGAGTTTGTGGTGTTTTGTAATAACAATGAATAGAGCAAGACAGTAACCACCTTACACTGATTTATATTATTTCTAATTTTTAGCATAAACATATGTTCTATCACTTAAAAAATTTAAAAATAATGTAATGCACACATGTAAGAGATGGTATGTATATGTGTAGGTCAGAGGATAACTTTCAAAAGTCAGTTCTATCTTCAAAGTCCTAGAATGTGAATTCAGGTTGCCATGTTTGCATGGCAAATACTTTTACCATTTTCACCTTCTGTTTTGGTATGATTTTTTTTAAACAGTGTCCCTTTATATAGTCAAGCCTAACTTTGAACTCTTAATCTTCTTGTCTCTGGCTCAGTGGGACTGAGAGCACAGGTATCACTCACTCAGCTCAGCCCCTGACTGTGTCAGGATGATCTTTTAGATAAAGAATGGCGTGGCTGTCTGTGTCAGCCTCCTTTCTTGTTTTATCTACTGTGACATCCTGGAGATCTCTACCAGCTTCAGGGTCCTGCTCAGAACTTGGTCACATAATTATGTGAACAGGGATGATTTCATCAATCCCCAGACATTTAAGTTTTTCATGCTCGGAGCCACGGTGACGAGTAGGGAACAATATCTCACAATATTTGGGGCAGGGTGTCTGAGAAACAGGTTTCTAGAAGCAAGACTGTGGGACTGTCAGTGCAAATCTTAGAGAGTGGTGAGTTCTCCTTCAGGGCTGAGGAAGGAAGGTGGTGAAGAGCTATTAAAACGTTTCTTGCAGGCATATATTTTTAGCCAGCTTTTCTACTTTTAACAATTCAGATCCCAATATATTTTGGTAACACATACTGTCAATCAAAAATGATTTTCTAATGTATGTGTGTGTTAGAAAAAAACCACAATTTTGTTTTTTGAAAGTCTCACTATATACTCTGGCTGTCCTGGAACTCACTATGCAGACAAGGCTGGCCTCGAGTTTACAGAGTTCTGCCTGCCTCTACCTTCCAATGCTGAGATTAAAAGCACGTACTGCCAGGCCTGGCTTTCTAACTAAAAATCAATGGGCTTCCAGGCCTTGTTTTTTATTTTGGACCCATAAACCTCTGCACTCAACTTAAGACAGTGCTTTGTGAACGACTTCCAGAGCCTTGACCATGAAGAATGTATTGTGCAAATAAGCATGGCTGGGCCGAACGGTTTCCATAAGAAAAATATGAGGCACCCTTATCTTATCTCTCCAGAAGCTTGTAATCCAGTGGCGGGAGTAAGACTGAAAAGTAACTGTGACCTGAGATAGTGTGGCACAGAGAGAGTGCTGCTGGGAAAGTCTGCCCATGACGAGATGGGGGACCATTTCCAGCTACATTGACTCGGAAGGTTTCCGGGAATGACTGAGATTTGCTAAGACTTGGGTTAGGGAAGGGTTTTGACAGGCACTGGAAAAGGCAGGCAGATGTGATGAGGTCTGCGGACTCAGTGAGGCTTGAGCACCCATGCTGACAGGAAAGGCTTTACATGGCAGAAAGAATGACAGGGTGCCAGGTGCCAGGACCTGGGCTAGGTGGAGGAGCATGGCTTTGTGCAATAGACATTACGAAGCACTGGGAACTGAGAAGAGGACTTCAGTGATCAAAATGGTGTTGTGTGGAGGTCAGGGGGTCCTGTGAGCTGAGACCAATGTGGGGGAGCACCTGGGCAGGCTTGCTCAGGTTCTGTGTGTGGAGTGATAAAGACAAGGAAAGGCTGTTCTGAAAGGAAAGACAGGTGTGTAGAAAGCTTGCACGTTGGGGCAGGAGAGGAAGGAATGAGCGAGTCTGTGAGATTCTGAGATTCTGAGCCTGCAGTGCTGGGAGAAAGAAAAACACTCCAGGCAACAGGGAGGGCACACCAGTACATGTGTGGAGACCAAAAGGCAAATGTGCAGCTCCTCAGGTGCCCATCACCTTTTCTTGAGTCTGGTCTCTCACTGGCCAAGAGCTCATTCAGTAGGATAGGCTCTCTGACTAACCAACTCCAGGGACCACCTCCACCCCTGAACCTCAGCCTCCCTCCCCAGTGCTGGGATTACAAATGGGTGCCCCACCCATACCTGGCTTTTTTTTTTTTTTTTTTTTTTTTTTTTTAATTTGGGTTTTGGAGATTGAATTCAGGTGCTAGTGCTTGTTAATGTTTATTCACTGAGCCATTTTCTCTCTTCCCCAGGCTCCTCCTCTACACACACACACCCTTTCTGAGAGAGCACCTCACTATGTATACAGCACAAGCCAACACTGAACCCATTATGTGTCCCAGGCTAATCTCACCTTATGACCCTCCTGCTTCAGCATCCCAAGGGCTGGGATTCTAGGCACGAGCCACCATGCCCGTGGTTGACCAACTATTGGTAAGATTCTCCACATATACAGCTCTAGGGAACCTTTGGCTTCCCAAACATCCACTGTTGATCCAGAATGCTGTCAAACTTCTCAGCGTCTCTCCTGGGCTGGGCCTGAAAGCACTGCATGCCCACCTACTCTGGCAGACTTAACTGCACTGTAGAGGCAGTTTCTATGTCCATGCTTGGCATTTGTGGTCCCTGTCAAATCAGAATTTCATTTTCAGTAAAATGGGTCAAGCTGGGTATGAGTGGGGACTATAATCCATGTTCTTTTTGAGTCCCACTCCTAGGGACTGACACTCCTAGAGCCAGGCTGACAGCCTTTTGGCCCATGTACCTCTTATCCAGGGAACACCAGGGCTGGCATACAAAGCGCTCACTGAGAACCAAAGAGAGGATACTTGAGCTTACAACAGTTTCCCTGATGCTGTGTGCTTTTAGCTAATGATGTGCTTAGTACATTTGTCACATTTCAGTCTAAGACTTGATTTTAGACTTAGACTCCCAGACAGTGAGGCGAGAGAAGGAACATGGAGTCTTCCTCTTCTTCTTCTTTAAGCACCTGTGTCTCACACTTACGGAATGGACAGTTTGTCCTGAGGAAAACAGGTTCTGTGGACACCGGGGCATGAATTCAGAGTAGCTGGCAGTGCTCCCCCTACCCCGTGGCCACTCTTACCTCAATTAGGGAACAGTGCTTTCTCTTCTAAATAAGACCACATTTTAACACCCGTGAGAGGCCCAGCTCAACATGACTGACATAGGCTAAGCCAGCGACAATATGGGAAACAGCCACACTGTGACCTTTAATTTCTGCAATTCCTGTACGAAGAGAATCACAACAGGTTTTGAACAATGTACTTCACTCCACTTTATTCTGGATGAGTATTACAGAGAAAAATTCCTAAACATCCCAGTGGACACTGAAAGCTAAGGCCATTCTGTGAGTTATTTTTAAAACTTGGTGTTCTCCACATAATCTTTTAAAAACAAGTTACCAAAACCCGAGACTCTGAAATAAAAATTTAAGGTAGGGTACAAGACACCCTTAGGGCCAAATGTAGTCTGAAGTTCACTGCATGGCCAAGTCATTTCCAACCTCTACCGTCTAAGTAAGAACTCTAAGGCAGCCAGTAGCTCAGCGCCAACCTCTCTTCTCCGTGCTACAGCATAGTGTCTTGTTTTTGACGACCGGTGTTGAGACACCACTTTCCTCCTAGAGAGTGACAAGGAGAGACTTTTCCTAAGAACGTTATAGAATTCTTGGGACAGGGAAAAGAAAGGGACCCATAACAAAGGCACTGAAAGCACATTATTTTATATAAAGAAATGTAAACAGTTTAACACCAATAGGCTCCCTCCACTAGCCTTTATCGTGAGGAAATGGCGCATCTTTGCTGGGCCAGAGCTTGAGAGCCAGTGAAATGAGAAATCTGTCTGCAGAGCTCAGACTTGGCTACCAACACACGGTCTGCATGGGGAGGAGCCACCATTAGAGGCCACCAGCGGAAGATGTAACTTCTTTCTCGTGTCTGTTCTGAGCATGCGGAGGCAGGACTCGGCCAGTCTTAAGGGATGAGCTCTTTCAGATATTCATCTCTTTCATTTTCAGTTCCCCCATGTTGCCTGATTAAAGTTCAGGGTTCCTTGAGCTTATTTCAAAGACACCTAATGTGGGAACTCATCACCGAACCAGTTCCCCTCTTTATTGGCTCATATTTTAAAGTGAAATGGTTCACATTATAAATAACCTACAACTGCTATATGTAAAATCTCTTAAGAGGGGCTCACCCAGCCAACTAATTGCTGTGAGCATTTCGTCCACCATGCTTTCCACCACAAGGAGCAGGGGTATGGTCTGCCATAGCAAGGCTGCCAGCTGCTCTGAGCCCTGGCTGAAGGGTGGGTGATGTGGCAGGGGCATTCCTCAGGCTGACAACCATCAAGGCCATGTCTACTTATACTTGATGTCCAACTATTGACTTAAAGAGTTCTAAGCTCAAAAGCATTAGCTATATGTTTTTTAAATTAAACAAAAGGTTTTTAACACAGTTAAATGTGCAGATAAGAACAAATAATTACAATTCAAAACTTTTCTTTACAAAGGTATGTTTTTCCCCCTTTAGAGAAATTTCTCTCTCAAAGCAATTAGAATATCCTCGTTTCCTAGTTGTAGTGCTATACTTAGTATTGTGAATTTGGGATACATAAAATTAAGGTATTTTCTACCTTAAACATGTTTTCTTTGATCAAAAGAGTTGAAGGGACAAACAAGAGACAAAGAGGGCACACAATGAGATGGATGTCACTGGTAACTGATCCCAACTACTATAGGTAAAGAGGGCAGCTTTTCTCTTTTACCTGGGGAACAGATGCTAGCTAGCCCCATGTTTAAATGTGATCCATGAGACGTCTCAAAGAAAATTAGAAGCCTTTCTTATTAAGGGAAAGAAAGAAACAAGGGTTGTGTACTGTGTGTTTTTAACCTTAAAAACATAAAGTCAAGCAGCTGTGCTGAGAGCAGGCGTGCATGGCTGCTAATCAGTAAGCTCCCAGCAGGTTGAAGTGAGCTTCGAGGAAGCAGTCCAGCACGGGCTGGGGAGTCTCACCAGAGGCGCCACTTCACACTGTCCCACTAACACACACACCTGCACAAACGGAAAAAAACAAACAAGCAAATAAGAAAACCCTGGGCATGATATGCTACTGGTGTTCTCCCCCACCAGGGCTTTCTCAGAGAATGTGCTGGGTGAGCTGAGTGACTGGAGGGTACAGCTGTGCTGTCCTCACTAGGAGGGTGAATTCCCATCTGAGTTACACTGGGCAGCAATAGCTGTTGAGGCTGCTGGACACAGGCAGAGGCTGACAGGCTTGCTAACAGCTCAACAGTTTATGAGCCTCTGGCCCCACCCCAAACACATGGCATAGATGGAAGCGTGCAGCTTGGTGGAGTGGAAACAGTGGCTTCTCTTAACCATGACACTGGGTGCTATTGGTTTGCAAGGTTTTCACTGCTTTGAAATGATGGGACTATTTGGCAGACAGTTGGTCAGTGTGGGTTTAAATGTTACTGTTGAGAGATGATTAAAAACAGAGTCCTTGCTATCACTGAAAGGTTCATTGTGGGTTAGCATTTTTGGTTTTAAGAGTAGAGTTGGTCAAGGCTTGGAGGCTTTGGTTAAACCATCCTGTTTGCAAGCATTTGTGTTGTAGCTGTCATGGCAGAGGGTAGACAGCCTGCACACAGAGGACATGCACCTGCCTTGTGCTGTGTATCCATTCTAAAGAAATGTCCATGAGACAGTTTCTGTCTGAAATGCCAGAATGTTCTTCTAATGTGTTTTTACATGTTTCAGGTCACACTGAAGATGAAGTGACACCTGGTAGCAAGCAGGAGAGCGAGCCGCACCAGTTTCTGTCTTTTAAAAGCCAAGTGGAAAGCCTGAAGGTGCTCCCTGAGCTGAGTGCAGGAGTGACTCCAGGTGAGGAGAGGGGTCCTCTGATGTCTCGTTCAGAGACCATGAGCGATGGAGTGCTCCCTATCAAATGGTGCTAAGTTTAGGATAGGACAATTCTGATTTCTGGGCTTGACTGGTTTAAAAGGATAAAAGGATGGACTGTGCCCCACAGGGAGGCAGACTACTACCTGTCTGCATGTGCTGGGGCAGGTGCTCATGGTGCCAGGCCTGCCTCTGAGCTGGGAGCCTGTCAGAAACCACTTTCAGAAAAGCTTACATCTTGTCTCAACAGCAGGGTGATTGTTTTTGGCCCTAGCTATTCTGGCCCTGGTACATACAGCATTGGAATTACATTCAGATATTTTAAAGAAACCATAGCAATATCCCCCCACCCCACAAAATTAAGTGCAAAATATCTTTAACAAAGAATGATGATAGTAAGAAACACTTGACATAGTCATGCAAGACTCATCTCAGTTTACAAAGACTGACATTTCCTTAACACCCCTAGGTTTTCACATGGTGAGCGCTACTACTTTACTCATTTTTCTTTGAATTTAAATGTGGGTGCTTGTGTAAAAACCGGTGACATGCAAGTTCAATGATTTCCAGTCCACCAAATATTCTCTCCTGCAGCACAAAGAACACATTGCTGATTATAAAATACCACCGAACAGGGCTGTACAAATATATGAGCAGGCACATCGCGGAGCAGAACAAGGTCCAGTACAGTATGGACAGCAGCTTGACCACAAGGACTCTGAGCTCAGACTTGCAGGGTGGAATGGTGCTCTGCCCAGTGAAGTGAAAGGTCTTTTCTCCTTGGTAGAAGGAGCGCAGTCTCTCTTCCTTTTCTTCCCAGCGCTTGTGGCACCAGAGCTGAAGGTCCTCCTTGGATGTGGGAAGGGTGTTGACTGGATACCTCTGGACATGGAAGTGGATCTCTTTGGGAAAGTCTCCAAGGAGGAGATGTTTCTCGGTTTGAGGAATGTTGTAAGGATATGCCACGGTGATGTCATGGACTGCATCAAGGTTCTTACCTAGGTTTTGGGAAGATGAAAATATCTTTGCTTTAGCAACAGTCAATGGGGTGGTAATGCTGATTCACTCTGCAAGGCAGAGCCATGAGCATGAAGAATCAGGACAGAGTGAACTACCACGAACAAACAAGGGCTAAAAATACCAGTGTTTCTGGGTACTTAGGTCAATATTTACCAGCCATTTTTAGCTTTTTTCCTGTTTGCTAATTGCCACAAAGACCTTTAGAAAGAAATTATCTTCATTCCCAGAAATGGTAATCTGCATTCTAGAACTACAGAGATACACACAGTAAGCTGGATCTGAGGGAGGAATTAAAGAGTATAGACTAGCCCTTCAGCCATAAGATTCGCTACACAGACACTGTCTTTGTTAACATACTCATCTCTTCAAAGGCAATAGAAATGTGCTTGCCTTTACTTAAAATGACCATGATAATTGCTGCAAGGGAACCTCAGAAACAAACTTGAAATCAGACACAATTTTTCAAATAAGTAGAACAACTTTGAGTCTAACCTGAAACATCATTCTGCATAGGTATTTAAGAGGGGTTGTTTTTGAAGTCACATGCCAGATGCTGGTGATGAAGAAAACAGAAAACATTGTCCCTAGTGTCCTTCAAAATGTTTCCAACATAATCAGGAAAACAAGAACACACAAAGGCCCCAAACAGTCTTGTGGGGATATAGGAGATGAGGGAGGGAAAGAACAGGTTCTGTAGCTGGAGTGGACTGAACAGCATGAGAACGGGACATTAAAAACAGGCAAACAGGATACATGGCCTAGGCCCTCCTGCACACTGTATGTGGCAGAAAAGCATCTTGGATGGTAGCCACAGATTTTAAACAATAAGAAAGGACTGTCCTGGAGGCACTGGGGCAATAGCAGTGTGGAGACCCAATGCAAAGGAGTGTGGCTGTTACAATAGGCCAGGAAGAAGAGGCAAAGAAACAGAACTGTGGAAAAAGCTAACAAGAACTGACATGATGTGGTGGTCAGCTGGATGAGGAAGAATGCAGAGGAGGGAGTCAGGCTTATGTTATTTTGGCTTGGCACTGAACTAACGGTAGGGCCTTTGAGTTTAGAAAGCCGGTGCATTGTAAGATCCGCAGAGGACAATGGACATCATTCAACCGAATCCTGTATACATGGCACTCAGCTTGGTGTTTGCCCAAGGGCACAGCACTGTCAGTGCCAGGTCTCGATGTTATCTTTTGTGATGAAACGTAAAAGTGTTCTTATCAATTGTAAAAAGCAATGGATTTCATTATAATAGTTTCATACAGGTATGTAATATTCTTTGACAGTGTCCATCCTTTAGTCCCCTCTCCCCTTCAGTGGTCCCTTTCCAGTGAACAGATGGATAAAGACTTGAATTTCTTACAGAAATAGATGACGCAGATGGACTCACCTGTGGTACAGCAGAGAGAAAAGTGCTTCCTACATGGAAAGGGGGTTCCTAGAAGGCACTTGTGGGGAACAGCAGAAATGCTCTAGACGAAGGGGTGATGGCAACCTCGACCTCTATCAGTTGTCCAATGGCATCCAACTTGAGCATATTTTACTGTTGAAGTTTTACCTCACATAGCAAGAATAAGAAGTGAAGTCATCCCCACCCGATCCCAAACTCCTCCAAGCAAGTACAGAACATCATTATAGTGTTTAGAAGAAAGATAAAAGAAAGGGGAGCTGGCAAAAAGACAGTTCTTCCTTGGTATTCACATCCCACGCTTTATAGGTAGCTTAAAGGTTTCCTTAAGCCCAGAGACTTGGATGTGCTACAAGAAGATGCTTATGGAAGGACAGTCAACAGTCCTAAAAGTTTTAACTTTTATGTTAAGTAAAGGTCACTAGACAACACAAAAGCCAGAAGACACTGTTTGTATGCCCATTTCTATGCAGGCCAAAGAGCTTACTTCTATATCCTATCTCTAGACCCCATGGTCCATGCCCTTGAAAGAAAGGACAAGAACGCCAGCACTATCAGATAGAGAGCCAGGGGAAGGAGCAGCACAGCTGCAGCGTTGGGCTACAGACAAGACAACAGGGAAAGAGAGAGGCAACCATTGGGATGTGTCTTCACTCACGAATTAAAGTAATAGATTAGGAAAAATATTTCTGCTATTACTAAGGTGTTACATTGTCCTGACACCTAGCTGCCATCAACAGAAAGTATTTTCAAAAGATCGCATTGCTTTTCAGAGGAGTTAAGTTACAGACATAGAGGCCACCTACCTGCCAGCTGCCTGTACTGGGTCAGAAAGTAATTTATTTTGTTTCAAAAACTATACCTAATGGAATTATTTTATAAAGCTAACCCTCTGTTAGCACATCCAGCCATGCTTACTGGGACCTCAATTGTTTCTTTCAGTGTGTGGGGAGACAAAGTAGTTGCTTATGCTGTTAAGACTCTAACAGACACTAGACGATTCTGAATAGTCTAGCTGTGTTTAAATAACCAACAGCAGCTGAAAACTAAGACTGATTTTTCCCAAATGTAATATCTATAAGGGACTTCTCTGATCATCTCAAGGCGAGGTCACAGTCACTAAGAGTTCTATCTAGTGTCAAATGCTCACTAGGAACAGGAGATAGCTAAATCCTCACATACTTGTATACTTAAAACAAAAAACTGGAAGAAGCTTTTGTGGACTTTAAAAGCTATCAGAGGAAAGAAATGCTGCTGTGTCTATGTCTACTAAGCTTGATGATAGAAAAATACAAATTCCCAACAGTGACCTTAAATAGTACTAGCAAAGACTGTAAATTTCCCTTTCTTTACCCATTTCATAACCAAGTATGTATAAAATATACAAAGTATAACTTTACACTTCATTTTGAAACCTTGACTAAATAAAAAAAAAAAATCTGGCCAGATCTGAATCCATAAATTTAACTACAAATAATGATCACCCACAGATACATTTTATGTTAAAATTAAAAAGCTGAAGGTCACTATTTTTTTTCATATTTAAAAAAAACAGAAAAATCATTCTCCGTCTGGGCCAAAAGTTGGCTTCATAACTAAGCAACCATTCCCTTGCAGTAGCACTGACACAAGAGTGCACCGATAATAAACCATGACATGCTGGCACTATTCAACCTACACTGAGGAACATCTTGAATGGCTGAGTCAGAATATACAAACTAAAAATAGCAATAAATAAGACACCTTTCAGCTTCAAAATAAGAGTGTGCATGAGACACTGGCATTGAGACTCAAACAGCACCATGTTCATTACGAGAGAAATTTCTATAATTCCCTATTTAGAACATTGTTTTTTTTCAGCCCAAGTTGCAAATTTATGGGACATAAGATGGAGACATACAACCAACCCATATTGAAACACTGTTTTATACTTTCCATCCATGTCATTTAAATTTTCCTAAAACATCATTTTATGGATAAATGTTTAAGAGAACAAAAATCCCTTGTTTTGGATATTTACATTATTTCCATTTAAATGGTATTAAGTGGATATTTCTGTAATCAATAATTTTCTAGATTATGTTGGATAGCTAGATCAAAGAATGTGAATGAGTGCACTAAGAGTTTTTTGCTTCATATGAAAAACTGACTCCCAGAAATGTCTGAATACATTCAAGAAATAGATGACTTACTTTTTGTGTTTTTACTAAGGCTTGTACAGTATTTTAGAAAGTTGCTGAAATGTATAATTTTGCTTTGTTTTATGTCTTTGCCTAGATGTAGCACACTTATGGAATATATACTGCTAATGTGAAACGCGGCTTTTAAAATTTAGTTATCTGTCATTTCTTATAGTTCCTATGAGCTTTCTATGAGATAAAGACATCATCCTTTACTACTCTTGTTAGCATTCTGCTTCCTGATCAGAGAGTTTTTTCCTTTTAGTTAATTTATTTATGTGGAGGGTGTGTGTGAATAGAGGCCAGAAGAGGGTGGGTGCCAGGGCCCTCTTCCGTCACTCCCCACCTGCTCCTCTGAGGCCGGGTCTCTTTCTGAACCTGTGGCTCACATCTCAGCTAGAAGCTGGCAGACTCCAAAATCCTGCTGTTCCACTCCCTTCTGAGACAGACATTTGCAGGGAACCTGAGGCCTGTTCTGGAACCATGGATCTAAACTGTGGTGTTCGTGATTTAGGGGGAGAGCCTGTGGAGGTTACTCCTCCGTGGATGCAACTTCGTTTCCAAGACTATTTCCTGCAGGTCCTTTATTCATTCCCTTCTAGTCCATCTGCCAATTTCCTTTCTTATCACAGATTATTCTCTGAACACTGTGTTGCAAATATTTTTACAAGTACTATTTATTATCTAAGTGATAGCATCTTCCCTAACACAACTGTATATCTGTCAAACAATTCTCATGTTAGAGGCTTTCAATACTTACTCCTGTCTCTCTTGTACTCATAAGGTATAGAACTTCACATTTCTCTGCAAGATGAAAAAACAGCTTCCTTGTTCTACTACATTGCTATATTAGCTTGGTCATGATTCAAACATCTCACCATCTAGGTTCTTTTTTGTTCTCTCTGGCTCCATAAGCTCCATGTTCACTCCTGTTCCAAGACCATACTGTTGTTTGTTTGTTTTGTTTTTCTATGGACTCAATAGCTGATGAGGCAGGCATGCTTTTGTGTTCAATATAACTGACACAACCCAGGCAACTATCTTGTTATATAAACTCTCTTATGAGCATTTAATCCAATTCTAAAACAAATACTCTACCACCCTACGGTGGTTTTAATGAAAACACTATACTGCCAGGTTCTTCGTCATGATGGTCATGGACTCACCCTCTGAAACAGTAAGCAAGTCCCCATTAAACTCCTTCTTCTATAAGCTGCCTTGGTCACAGTGTCTTGTCACAGAAATAGAAAAATAACTAAGACACACCTTTAAAAGCAAAAGAAAACCTATCTGAAAATCCTATTTATATTGTATTTGCTTTATAATTTTGGAATAACCATCATTTCATGTCTTCTTATTCAAGAAAAGGGATATATATTGTCTTTTTTGTTTC